AAGTTACAGGTTTTTTAAAATTACTCTGAAAATATATTTTAATATTAGAAAATTAAATGCGTTTACTTTTTACTCAAGTACTGATGTTGAGTACTTTTTCCACTTTTGTAAAAATACATTTTAAAAGAAGAAAAAAAAATCGAGAAATGAAACTTTAAAAAACTTCTCCATCAAAAAAAAATATTTTGCTGTTTTCTCAGATTCTGTTTTTTCTTATCCTTTTTTGAATGATAACGTTCATAATTTCTCCAGATTTTATAGAATCTAAAAATGTTTTCAATATTTCTCCAATCAAAATGAGCTTTATAAATTACATTCTTTTCAAATAGTTTTTAACAGATTAAATTCTCTTCACTTCATGCACAGTTAAAACGCTCGCTGCTGACTAATAGAAATGTTGTTGCTAACGTCCAGCAGACCAATGGAAATGCATCTTCACTCCTTATTCCAGAGAAAAGCCCGCCCACATTAAGAAAGAGAATGAAATCTGGAAAAGCAGTTTGAGAAGAATGTAATTCCTAAAAGTCAATATGAAAAACAGAAATGAAAATATAAAATCCGTAAAAGTAAAGATTAAACAGAAAAAAAAAAAAAAAACTAAATGTGAGAAAACAGCAAAGTAAAATGAGTCGAAGGAAACGAGAACCCGTTCTAGAAGCCGTCTTTGTGCAGCTGGGAGCGATGCACGGTTCATCCTGATCCATCAAGCAAATTTGCTCAACAAAAACATCAAAACATGCAACAAATCTTATATTTCCTGCTTCTAAGCTGTTTCTGCAGCATTGGAGAGCCAAGGGTGTAACTTTCTGCACTGCAAAAAATAGAAATCTCAATAAGTTATTTTTTCTTAAAATAAGTGCGTTTTCCTTGAATTGAGGAGATAAGTGAGACACTTTGCCAATGGAACAAGACAATTTCCTTTTAAAATAAGAAAAAACAATTTTATCGTCTTATTTCAAGTAAATATTATCTAACCATCTTATTTTAAGAGTAAAAATACTCATTACATTGGCAGATCATCTTATTTACCTGCTCAAATTAAGGGTAAATACACTTAATTTAAGAATTTTTTTTACTTATTTCTGGATTGTTTTTGCAGTGTGATGAAAGTTGGTGGGGGCCCTCTAAGGGTGGGGCCCTCTAAGGGTGGGGGCCCTCTAAGGGTGGGGCCCTCTAAGGGTGGGGGCGCTCTGAGGGTGGGGGCGCTCTAAGGGTGGGGCCTGATGGACCTGCAGTAACTCCACCTGAACGCTTTCATTAGGGGTTCGTATTTTCCATAAATGAGCTCAAACATCTATTTATTGAATGCTTTCCTTTTGTTGAGAACACATGAGAACCAAACTACACTAAGATTTATATTTATAGGTAGTTAGAGAGACGCCTTTTAGTGCGTTACATATATGGGGCCCCAAAAACATTAATTTATGAAACAATAACAGCCGATTCCGATGCTAGTAAACTTCCTGGTAAATTGGAGATATATTTTCTTGCATGTTGCATAACCCAGTAAATCTGTTTCTCCTTTAAATCTGCAGCTTTCTCTACTTCTCTCTGTTTAAAAAGATTTATGAATCTATTTACTAAGTTAGTGATTCACTAAATTAGTTAATTTTAGCTTTGGGATGTGGGTGTTTCCAGTATAAATAGGGAGGTTTTTGGTTGCTCATTATGCACGTGGGCGGTCATATGGTTTTTTAACCAGTCACAGTCTCAGTCTCAGTCACAGTCTCAGTCTCAGTCTCAGTCTCAGTCTCAGTCTCAGACTCAGTCCCAATCAGCCAGTTTTGTCTTCAATTGTCAGTCAATCAGTCAAAGAACAGCTGCAGGAATCGGAGTGGGATCTGCAGCAGAATCCTGTGGATCCTGTAAACTGTTTTTTCTGAACAGAGAATAAAACAAAAAAACTAGATTTTCAGCCTCTTCTGATCTTTTCAGACTGCGTAACCCAGAATCCATGGTGCATCACGTCAAGGGTGTAACTTTGCAATAAAAGTTGGTGGGGGCGCTCTAAGGGTGGGGGCTGAAGGACCTACAGCTACTCAACCCCAACACTTTCAATGGGGTTTATATTTTTTCAAAAATTAGCTCAAACATATATTTATTCAATGCTTTCCTATTGATGAGAACCGATTCCAACATCAATATATGATGCATCTCTATTATGGACACAACTTCAATTACATCCATCCATCTTCCCTTTAGGCTGCCTCAGTGATTATCCTCCTTCACAAGCAGCAAAATAAAATTTAGAAATTTGTCCCATGTGTCATTGACAGCCAAAGTCTATGTATTGAACCTTTATTTTCCAGATATCTAGAAGCTCTGCAGTCTGATTCTCTGTTCAATAAGAAAACAGATCTGTGTTCATTTTAATTTGTAACTCTGAGTAATGGTCCTCTGAGAAGCCCAGCTTTTTTTTTTACTTATCTAAAAGCTCCGTATGTGTAACAAACGGATTTTTCGGTCGCATCTCTTATTCTTTTTAACCAACCCGTCTCCTAACTTTTACTGAAAAATATATTGAAGTAGCTGGCGGGTAAATTCACTGAGTGCTGCTGTGTCTCTCCTCCTCCACGTAGCTACTGCGTACACAGTGAATAGCAACCCCAAATAATATTATGTCCCAAAGCTACAGATCCCATGATATTTCACCGAGAGGAGGGACCGAGAGCAGCAGGAGAGCGAGGAGAAAATGGACTGAAAATGCTCTGAACAGAGACAGCTGCACCCAACCCCAGTTACTGTTGGCTGAAGGAAATCAACGGAGGGGGAAACAAATGGAAATTATTGGTGGGGACATGTTCACACCAGTCCTTTAGAAAGTTACGCCAGTGCATCACGTGACTATTTGATTTAAATTCACCTTTTCCTTTAATCACCTTTAAGTCTTAAAGTTTTTGTGACAAATAGTCGCTCCAAGTTTGCTTGGAGCTTCGTGTTAAAGGTGGATGGAAACAAATGCTCCAAACATGCATCCTTTTCCTCTCATTTCAGAACTTTGTTTTTCCTCAAACCAAATAAAATCCACTAGATTTTGCGATGGTTATGCCATACTATTCGGAAATGATAAGAGATAGAGTACACTAGAGATGTCCCGATCCAGGTTTTTGCACTTCCGATCAGATACCGATATTGTTTTTGGACTTCCGATCCGATACCGATACCAGCCTATTCAAGCATGCATTTAAGTTTAAGTTAAAGTATTTAGCCTTAGTTGTAAGACTCATGTTGGAAAGGGTTTTAGTACTCTTGATAACATCTAGCCAGCTGAATTAGGTGAGATTGAATAAAACACAATGATTGGTAACAACAAACTTACCTGTTTATTAAGAGATAAACACAAACTGGACAAAATTATGAATAGCAATCTGAAATTGCACAGTGAGCAGTAAAACCGTAAACAGTTAAAGGTGCAAGTATTACTGTAAGTTTTAATAAAAATGCAAAACAGACAAGAGTGGAAAATAGTCTATTAACTTAGAATCAGGACTCTACTCTTGAAAAAAGACTGCTTAAAAAAAAAATCAGTGCAAATAACAGTGAACTATTACACAAAAATGACTTATACTCCCCAATCTCCTCCACACCTAGTCTCCATCTACACATCGTGCAGGATAAAATAATCCCACACGGCTGACATTTTCCCTGCTATCTTCCAATTCACCTGTTTTAATGGTTAGGCCGGGAGACAGACCCAAAAAGACCTGTGGGTGGGTTGAAGGTGTTCTGGAAAATGCGGACCGGATTCGGGGAACACTGGCGCAAAATAGTGGAATGGATCGTTTCAATCGGTGAAACTGCAATCTGAAATTGCACAGTGAACAGTAAATCCACGTATCGGATCGGGACAAGCCTAGAGTACACAGTACATTGAGCTGTAGGTTCATGTCCCTGGAGATCATGTTATGGCTCCTGTACTGAAGACATAAAACTAAAATAAATTATGATGATGATATGCGCTGCAACAGACATTACAATTAGGTCCTTTGGATCTATTTCATTTTTTCTCTTTAAAAATTTCTGTTTTACTAATTATTTAAAAACAATGAGTTGATAGCTTCAGTGGTATTGAGACACGATCCCAGTTTCCATCTAACCAATAAAAAAAATTCAGCTGAATTTCTCAGTTTTTCTTGAGTTCTAATTCTGATTTTATAGAAAACTGTAATTTTAACTTAAATTAAGTTAAAAAAGTATGTAGAATTCCTACATTATGAAGGCATAATATATTCCAAATAACAGCTTTATTTGATCTTTTCTTCTATTATGTGAAAAAGTCATAAAATTACCAGAATAAAGTCATAATATTAAGAGAATAAGGTCTTAACATTACGTGAAACAAGTTGTTTTTTATGACAACTCTTTCTTCCTTAAAGTGAGGAATGTGGAGCATCATGTGAAGTTATACTTTAGCATCGGAAATCTTTTTAACTGGGCAGGATGTCAAAGTGGACTCTGGTTGCTGATTGGTGGAGCTGGTCGGACGTCATCTGCTGGGCGGAGCTCCAAGCTTTCTTTCTGAAACAGGTTGTTGAATGTTGACTTTATTCTCAAAATTTTATGACTTTATCCTTTATTCTCGAAATAGAAGAAAACAATCTCTAGCCTGTCCCTAATGCTACATCATAATATCTAAATCCCTGCTGCTCCCCCATGAAAACAAGCTGGCCCCCTCCTGGCCCCCTGGAACATTTGGTCTAGAACCGCCACTGGTAAATTTAAAATCTAAACCTAATTAAATTAATTAAATCTGAACGTTTTTCACTTTTAAATATACAGCAAAGCCATGAAAACCCTCAAAGGTCTCTGTGCGTCTTTGTTCTCTCTAAAACCTACAGTCAAGCATTAAAATCTACTTTAAAATGATCAGAGGATAATAACTCTATGAGCTGTTTGGGGTTTCGTCGTGCGTAAAGGCGCAGAAACCAAAGTGCGGGGATGGAACTATCAGCTGATCCTGCAGGTTTGCAGCCTCCTGCCTCCTGCAGGGACGGACCCACCTGCGCCGTGGATGTTCTCCTCGCAGGAGAACCAGATGCCGGTGTGGAAGCGGCGGAACAGGAAGCGGTCGTCGCCGGTCTCCCAGCTGTAGTGCACCTTGCTCTGGTCCGTCTCGTTCACTCCGTAGTCGATGCAGTTGTGGCGCCTCAGTTTGCTGCAGGTGGGCTTGGGCACGCGCTGGGTGCCCTCGCACCAGTACGTGGTGACGAAGGCGGTGGTGGAGAAGAACAGAGCCGCCAGGTTCAAAGCTACCGACAGCAGCGCGCGACATTTCCGCGTCGTCTTCATGGTTTTCCCGCCAGCGCCGCGCGGCAGGCAGAGAGGCAGGGCGGTCAGAGGGAGAGGAGAGGCGGCATGGCGCGGAGGTTTTACGCGCCTGCAGGTTGGTCCTGTGCGCAGACTGAGTGATGGATGTCTCCTTCCATCTGCTGCTCAGTCTGAGGAGGAGGGAAGCTGCGAGCACAACATCCCGCTTCTCTCCCTCTGACGGCGGCGTGTGCGTCATCACCTGGACCGCACCGAGCTCACACCTCCAGCGTCCCTGATCCTCCCTCACAAACATCACTTCTTATATTATGTTACATTTTTATTTTGTATCATAATCATCCAACATCTTCTCATCCTGGAACAAGAAAAGTATTTAGATTGAATTAAATGTGCAGAAATGAGAAAACCAGGCGGTAATAATCCAGAACAAATTAACATAAACTGCTTGGCTGGTCAAGTTTGTGCATTTTGATTTAATTGTTGGTCTTTCTTTCCCATATTGTGGAAGATTACTGATGCAGATGAACGTTCAAAACTCAAACTTAAAGGCAGCAATGGCTCCAACACTGGATTTAAGGAATTTTAAATCATCTGTTAAACTTTCTCTCTCCTCTCTATCATTGATCAATACTGCAGAGGCAACATTTAGACTTAAGACAACTTTTATTGGCATTTTTTAGACACAGACTGGGCTCTCCTCATCTCATCCTCCATGAGAAGTACATGTGCTTTTGTGCTGTTTTGACCAGTGAGGTGGTTATAACCATATAGGTTTACAGTCCAGTTGAGGTTGTCCTTGATGTGTGCAGGTTTTAGCAGTTCCTTTTCAGCTGTGACTCCATCCTGGAGAGAAATCAGCTGTGCTGCCATCAACACCTGTCTTTATAGATGTTTGAGCTTGGCCTGTTTTCCAGTGTATTCCTGTTTCTCTGACTGTGACAGATGGCCGCTCACACTGAGCCTGGTTCTGCTGGAGGTTACTTCCTGTTCAAAGGGAGTTTTTCCTCTCCACTGTCACTAAAAGCATGCTTAGTGTGAGGGATTGCATTCAAGTCAAGGGCTGTAAACTGAATTAAACAATATATTAGTATATCTCAAATTAATTCTATTCAGTTTATTTCTATAGCGCCAATTCCCATCATGTCGTCTCAGGTCACTTTCCAGTTCACCAGATCATCCAGTCAGATTGATTCAAAGTTTTCTATCTAAGGAAAACCAGCTGATTGCATCGACTCATTGACTCTTCAGCAATCCCTCACACTAAGCATGCTTGTAGCGACAGTGGAGAGGAAAAACTCCCTTTGAACAGGAAGAAACCTCCAGCAGAACCAGGCTCAGTGTGAGCGGCCATCTGCTGAGGCCCACTGGGGTTCAAGGAGACAGAAGCAGACATAGAAAAAGAAGCATAGATACAAAAGGCAACTATCAACCAGCTCCACAGGCGGCCCCGTCCAGGAAACACACAGCCAGGCAGACGAGCTCCGAGCCAACTCCCATGTCAGAGGATGAAGAGAGCACATCCAGTTAGTCACAGTCAGAGAAACAGGACTACACTGGAAAACAGGCCAAGCTCCAACATCTAGAAACAAAGGTGTTGATGGCAGCAGCACAGCTGATATTTCTCTCCAGGATGGAGTCACAGCCAAACAGGAACAGACCAGATGAAGCTACTATGAGAAAAAGCAGAGAGAGCAGAACGTTAGAGATTGAACTAACAGATTCTGCAGAGTGGGAGAATAGAGATAGAATGAAGCAGAATGATGAAAAAGGGGTCCCTATGTCCTCCAGCAGTCTAAGCCTATAGCAGCAGAACTATAGAGATAGCTCAGGATAACCTGAGCCACTCTAACTAGAAGCTTTATCAAAAAGGAAAGTTTAAAGGTATACTATGCAACCGGTGTTGATTTTCCAGCGAGGCTCCCCCCAGAGGGCGAAAGTAAAAGTGCACTGTTGTAAATATGCACAGCTGTTCTCCTGGTTTCTCCATCAAGCCAGATGCGGTTGTTTTGAGCTTAGCAGACAGGCGAACGCAACGAATGACTAATGCTGCGTTCACACCGCAGCTGGCGCGACAGAAGCAGCGAGTTTACATGCAAAGTCAATGGTTGACGCGGGTCAAGGCGCAGCAAAAGGTCCCGCGGCGCGTTTTGAGCAGCAGGCGCAGCACATCTGAGCAGCTGAATCAGTGCATCAGGCGCGTTTAATCATCTGACGCAGGGAGAGAGACACAGCGCTGATGATCACTCCTCTTAAACAGTTTATTGACGCCTAAATTAACTTAAAATGCAGAAATCTGCCGGCAGAATAAGCAGTTTGGATTATTTAGATGAAAAACACCTACCAGCTGCCGTGGTGAACCGCGAGGAGGCGACCAGGCCAGAGGCTGCTGATGAAGGGATCCCTACTGTCGGCGCACCGCTGGTATGTGGGGGTCTGAGCGGCTCCGACAGAAAAAGTATTGAAGGCAGGATAATAATCTGAATGAACTGACGGCACAGATTACGTTTTCAGGTGTATTTTCTCACTTAAACACATATTAAAACTACTTTATTCCCACTGATCACAGCAAATATAGCTGCAAGGCAGAGAAAGGATAGTGAAGCACCGCGCAGCCAGAGCAGCAAAGCTGCTTCAGCCGCGCGTCAGAACTAAACTGGTACAAGCAGCAAAAATGAAGCAGCAGACGCGATTTTGCTGCGTGAACGTAGCATAACTGCACAAAGATTGCCACTGTGCTAGCAACGAGAATGCTTTTAACTGGGGGGGTGTAGCAGTTCTCGCCGTAAAGCAAGACTGACTCTCACGAGACTTCTGAGCCTGTGGGTGCGGGTCGGTGGTCCTGCAATTGCAAGTACGGTATTTCCCCCACAGACCACCAGGGCGGCCGAGAATACCTTTGTTCAACCTGAAATGACTCATTTAATCATCCAAAACGTTATGGAACACATTAATTAACTGAAAAATGTTGCATAGTGTGCCTTTAAGCCTAGCCTTAAAAGTAGACAGGGTGTCTGCCTCACGGACTAAAACTGGTAGTTGGTTCCACAGGAGAGGAGCCTGATAACTAAAAGATCTGCCTCCCATTCTACTTTTAGAAATTCTAGGAACCACTAGTAAACCTGCAGATAGAGAGCGAAGTGCTCTGTTAGGAACATAAGGAACAATCAGATCTCTGATATCAGATGTCATTAAACATCTTATTTAAGTCTTATGACTTAATGAAAAGCAGTCATGAAGTTCAGCTCTGCACAGTGGGGAATAACCAGGTTTACTTTCTGTGAGAAAGATTAAGAAAGTGACCAGATAGAAGGACTTTCTATGAGGACGACAGAAAGTATCACTGGCAGCAGAATCTTTGTTAACGGACGTTTTAAGGAAAGAGAGGCATCCAACATGCACACACTGAGCCAGGAGTTGTTTCTAACTGGGAAATGAAAGAGACAAAGGTTTCTTCTGAACATTTAAGGCTCTAGACTTTCATATTCTCTAGCAATCTTTACTTTATGAAGTTTTTAAATTTAAAAAAGTAAAAGTTTGCCTTGAAATCGATCAATCAAATTAAGAATAAGATGAAAGAGACAAGATGCTGGTCTGGTTTCATTTCACATCCCGAGCTGTCGAGGTAGATCAGGTGTTCTATATTTATCCAACACTGGAACATACTTTTCTGTCATTTACTCTTTCAGGAATGATGTATTCAGTGAATACTTAGAAACGGACTCCTTATCGATCAGCCGGTGGGGAGCTGGCATGAAAATCCCCAGCGACAAGGCCAAGCCGCCCACCACACGATCCATCAGCGCTCATTTTATCGCTCCCACCTTCAGATCGATACGGCCCCTGTGAGTGTGCGCTGCGTGTGTGATGTACGGCGGGTCGCTCCGATTCAGACTGACAAAGTGTCACAGGGGTCAATAACATGAACAGAAAAACCGTGTGTTGATTAATGTCACATTTATCTGTTCTCAGAAGCTGAAAGTCTGATTATTAATGTTCCGTTTCTACAGAACAAGAAAATAAAACCATGTTGGGACTCTAGTTTGACTTCAGAAGGAGGAGAACCCCCCCACACCCCCCTTAGAGCTCTGCAATGTCCTACAAGGTGAGCTGAAAACCGATAGGTGTTTAAACCAGTTCAGGGTCAATCTACCCTAATCACATGGTACCGACTGGTAGATCAACATGACCAACATCTTTAATTCCAGAATGAATCACTGAAAACAAACCAGATTTTTATTTAACCCTTTTTTTCATAACTGTACTCACATATTTACACGTATAAAATGACTAAATTAACTATTTACTGTTCTGCATAACATCCAACCTGAATGGTTGAGCAGTTTTACTGCAACATTAATGTCACAGAACGGATGGACTCAGTTTTCAAGGTGAAATAGTCAGTACAAAAGTTAAAAACCTTTATTAAAATAAAAACATTAACAGACAGAACAGAAGCGCAGAGCTGATGCAAATGTATGATATCAGATCACAAATTTACAAATGAATGGGTAGAAATACATAAAAAAAAGACTTGATTTTTGACTGTATGTTAAAGATATATTCAGTGTGATATTTAATCATGTTATATGAAGTTTAAAGGTATACTATGCAACCGGTGTTGATTTTCCAGCGAGGCTCCCCCCAGAGGGCGAAAGTAAAAGTGCACTGTCGTAAATATGCTCAGCTGTTCTCCTGGTTTCTCCGTCAAGCCAGGCGCGGTTGTTTTGAGCTTAGCAGACAGGCGAACGCAACGAACGACTAACACAGTGAAAGTATGAACATGCACACAGAGAGAGAGAAACCTTTCCAATGTTACTTACAATCGCATCAGCAGAAACGCGAGGTCCGCGTCAGCCTTGCAGCCTTCTTTTTATTTTAGCTCTCGCCATTCGGAAAAAGCTTGCCCGATGTTCACCCGTGTACGACTCCTCTCTCTGTCCGGAGCCCTTTTCCTCTTTCTTGCCTGCTCCAACATGGGCTTTCGCTGTTTCCTCGCTGGTTCCGCCATGATAACTGCACAAATATCGCCACTGTGCTAGCAACGAGCATGCTTTTAACTGGGGGCGTGTAGCAGTTCTCACCGTAAAGCAAGACCGACTCTCGCGAGACTTCTGAGCCTGTGGGTGCGGGCCGAGGGCTCCTGCAATTGCAAGTGCGGTATTTCCCCCACAGACCACCAGGGCGGCCGAGAAAACCTTTGTTTAACCTGAAATGA